TTTTTTAAGTCACAACTGAGAAGTATTGTGAGGTGTATGTACCACGGTATGTGAATACCTTCCTTTGAATACCTGAATTCAAAATGTATACTGAGTGGTGGGTTTTGTTTATTTGTTCTTTTATCCAACACTCTCTATTTCCCCAGAATATGGTCAAACAATGCATTAACAGAGAATCTTACACATGTCAGAAAATTCTTACTCCTGGGCACCTGTGGTGGTTGAGATGTTCAGTCATCTCTTCTTGGATTGTCCATGTTCCTGCTCCTTATCCTATGACTGCCTCTGCAACCTGTCCTGGGTCTGCCAAGGTCTTAAAGATGACAGTGAACATCCAAATCCACAATAGAATAATCTCTTTTGTGGGTTGTATTATACAGATGGCTTTTTTTTTGTTTTTGAAAGCATATGAGATATGCTTCTGAGTAACATGGCCTATGGACTGTAGCCATCTGTCTCCCCTGCATTCCCAGTCATCAGGAACCCTCACTTCTGTGATTTCTTAGTTTGGTGTCTTACATGGTTAACCTTTTGGTTTCCCAGATGCACAGTTTGATTATAATTTCCCTACTTTATGGATGTGGAAATTTCCAGGTTTTTTAGTGATCCTTCTCAACTCCTTAATCACACCTGACCTGATACCTTCTCTAATAACATTGTCAGGTATTCTTTTTTTATACATGTTTTTTTGCATCTTAGGAAGTCTTCTATCTTTCTAAAAAAGTTGTTTTCCTTGATTCTGAGACTCTCATATCAGCTGCTAAATATACATGCTTCTGTCCTGTAAGACTCTTCCATCAGTTTTTGGCTTATAATGTGGAACCATCATTGGAGTGTTCCTTGGTTCAGTTTTGTCAAAATCTCTGAGATATTGCCTTAGTCATTTACATTTTGCTCATCCATGTCCTGAATCCCTTCATCTTCTGCCTGAGGAGCAGGTACATAAAAAGTGTCTCAAGGAGGCTCCACAGAAGAACTGTCTGGACCTAAGCAATCAGTTTAAATGTAGGGTGGAAAAAGCAACAGACCTATAAAAATAAACCTGGAAATCTAGCCTGCCTTTCCGTCACATTATTGTATAATGACTTCAATTTGTCATCCTTTTTGATGGGAGAATGTTGGGAGCCAATTTTGTGGCTGGGAGGACTTGCAAGTTTTTTACATCATGTAGAAATTTTCAGTTTGGCTACGGATGCTGGTGATGGATGCACCACAGTGTGAGTGTGATTAATGCTGCTGATCTGTGCCCTTGGCAATGGGGAAAATTGCCATCTTTAGAGGGAGTGAAATTTCACCATCATAAAAATGGAACAAGGCAAAGGAAAAAATTAATGAAAGAAATGATAAACCCAGGAGCTTCCTCTGGAAGAGCCCAAGAGCTTTTGTGGACACTGATTTTTCTCTTCCTCAGCTGGCATTGATATGAGGAGACTTTTAGAGTTTGTGGTAACCTGGACCAATTGAGCTAATCAGGAGCTCTGTGCATTGGGCTTCCAAGGTCATATAACAGTCAACAACCAGTCTGTGCCTGCAGCCATTCAGTTTGATGGCTCCAAGTCCAGTGGGCTCCATCCCTGTGCCTCCTCCTTCCATGGTTGGTCTGCGTCAGGAAGCTTCTATCTGAGACTGCATGGATAGAAATCCTGGGGCAGAGCCTGAGGCTTCATTGAGTACCAGGCATCAGATGAGCTCTGGATCTTCACTCCTTGGCCATGACCCACCAGAGTCCCAGTGCAAACCATTAAGTGCTGAGAGAGGTGAATGACGGAGGCGAATGAAATGCATGAAGCATTGTTTCCTCATCACCAGGACAGACATGCATTTTGGGAGGGCAGATGGGGGAAAAAGAATGGGTCAAATTTCAGTTACCAGGATTGTGAAGTTTATGATCTTGGTTGTTGTGGGGTCCTAGAAATCTCATTCAGAGCCTTGCTTTCCTCCCACCCTGGTTCTACTTCCCATGGACAGCTCTCAGACCATAACCGAAAGTAGGTCCCACTGAACTCTTTCCTAAGCTCTCCAAGACATTTATGAAGGCGATGATGAGGATGAGGATAGTGTCCATCACATCATGAGCCAATATTAATTGACCTTTACAGATTTTTAGCTTAATTAAATTTACTACTGAAATTCACCTTTTTGTGTTTAATAATAATTAAGCACTGTTGTGTGCCAGTCATGGGTGTGGGCATTTTATACATGCTGAGTCTTTTTAAATGATAAAATCTTCTTAACTAATTAACCCCTGTGGCAGAATTGGAAAAAATTAATATCCAGGATTCAAATACATGCCTATCTGATCAAAATTTATTCTTTTAAATATTTTTACTGGCATATATTAATGACACAGAGTAGTGGGTTTCATTGTGGCATATTCATATATGCATATAGCATGATTTGATCAATGTCAATCCTCCCTTCCTCCATTCAGTCCCCCCTCCTCCCTTCTCCTGACTCCTGCCTCTACTCTGTCTCTCTTATTATTGGTATATTTCTGAGCTCCAAACTCTGACTTTGCATTCTATATAGATTGTATCAATTTATGATGGAGTATGAACTGTATAAAGCATTTTTTCCCATCATTTACCCAATGTCAAAAATGCCACATTACTTTTATTTTTCAGGAAAGAAAGAAGCACAATATTTTTATGTAATTTGTGGTAGGACTTTAGGTTGAAAATCTGAAGTCCTGTTTGAATTGAGGTTTGATTAGAGACAGAACATTTGAGCAGGTTGGGCAGGATCCTGCCAGGTGGCCTTGTCCCCTGTGAACTTAGTCATTCCCCTTCCCTGTCACTCCAGGATGAGACCCTCCTTCACTGTGCACTTCAGTTTGGAGGGTTTTGGTGGAGCACAGGACAGATCAGTGGGTAGCATCTGGTGCTACAATTATAAGAAGAATGTCTGAAATCACAGGGTGAATTCAGAGAAAAAGAAGACAGACACTCATTCAATATAGATCCCCTCTCTCGCCACCCCAGGATATCCCTGCAGCTGTACACACGTTCCTCATTCTTGACATCAACCTGATCTCAAAGCAGTCTGAAGTTCAGGTCTTGATTTCATTACTACTCAGTAGTCTAGAAAGAATTTTAAAGTGCACCTGGGGTAGACCTGTAGCTAAGACCTCTGTACCTCTGCTCTCTTTTGGATTGTTGGGAACAATGAGCAGAGGGGGTGCATGTCACCCAGAGGTGGAGAATTCAGTTTTAAGCCCTGAGGGCTAAATTTCCATTGCTGTGATAAAGAACAGGGTATGGATTCTCTTAGCTTAGGCCTTGTCTTCTGAGTTGAGTTGTAATTGAGGCAACTGCATCAAGAAAGGATTAAACAGATAAAGGATGCCCTGTACGTTGTTAATATTTGGTAAATATACTAAAAAATTCAGAGATTAAAAGCCACAGCTTACATGGCAGACAAGTTATCTACAATTGAGTGATACTCCTAGACCCAGGGATTTA